CGGACTGCTTTTGGAACAGTCCCGGACGAGTTTCGGAATGATTTCGTTTTATAAGGGTTCATGACCCGCGGCGAGTTGCCACTTGTAAGACTCGACGAGGCCTTACCCGGGCACGCGGACCATGACGACGACGGGACGCTGCCTTCGTACAAAGTTCTTATTTTTAATGTGCCGTTTCGCATATCGCCCTGAGCTTTGTCGCGCAATACTTTTACGTCCCTATCTGCCCATAAAGCGGGGCCGAGCGGGACTGAGGAATAGATTTCTCGAGAGCAGTGATCACTTTATAAGTTCCAGTCGATAGCGGCCACACCCTCGTAACCCACGTATCGCCGCGCGGCCACGGGAAATAGCCCGTACGCTACGAACCCAAGTGATTTCGCACTACCATGTATGACCATAGTTTATATTTTACCATGGCCTTCCCCATGATTATTTTAGTCTGGGAAATGAGGGGAAATCCCACATTTGTTTAAGGAGATTCCTCGAAATCTGAGAAATTTTCCTCAAACCAAAGGAGTTCCCCGAAGTTTTCCCTTTTCCCTCAAAAAATGAGAGCATATCGCCCCTATTAATCAAAATTATACTCGAACCGTCCTTAATACAACATACTATAAAATGATTGAATTTACCTGTCCCAATGTGGGGGCATGTACTGTCAAAAATTCTTTGGATAACCGCTGCCGCCATCGAGGGGTCCACCAATCGCGTAATCCTGTGTACAGATGAGGGTGTAATCCCTACGTAATCCTAATCTATTCCGTGTAATCCTTGACCAAATTTTATCACTAAATTTAATCACTAAATTTAATCACTAAATTTCACCTTATTGTCCAAATGTGATGGTTTTAGAGCCTGAAATTCAACAAAATTCACGTGTAATCACTCAAAATTCATGTGTAATCCCTGTAATCACGTAATCTTGTGTACATCCTCAATCGATGTGGTGGCTGGTGGCCCCCTCGGCCGCCATGCAACTGATAATTTCGCTACCCCTATCTTTTTATCAAATGAAGGCGTTAAGAGGTTACGATTTTTCACCATTTAGTTGACTGTAAAGAAGAATACTGCACTCGCAGGGCTCGACAACCGGTCGAAGTCGTAGTTACGCGCGACGTAACGTGAGCGCGTGCACCACCCTCAGTAGTTCCCATACTTTCAGGGCGCCAGGCGTCGGGGGCGAGCGGTGACGTCAGAGGGAATGACCAAAACGTCGAACTTAGTGATCAGACACGAGAGCGCGCCACTTCCCGTCTGTTGCCTTTCAGTTCAGTAAACAAAACAGAAATGGCGCCTTTGAGAAGTAAGTTCATTTATCAGACAGCTTATAACTACTTACAAGCGCTATGTCAGTCACTGTTTCTAATGGAATACAATCAGCAATGAATCTAATTTTGTGTTTGTGGTATTTTATAATCTGTTGCTGTCGCCAATGATAAGAAGTGCTGGGAAACTGTTGGTATATTTGAGGTTATTAACCTCCACTGGAATACTACTGGAAGTTGTGTTATTTCACAAGTAGGTCACATGATGTCTGATGCAGCAGTAAAGGCCCCCTGAAATTCAAATATATTTTGGACATTTTATACTATTGTTTTAAAAGTGCCTCTCAGTTCGGTAAGCTTGTAGTATTGTCATCACTTTTTTATTCAACGCAAATGAAGTTTCAGTTACGTAAACAGTGGTATAGAATATGAAGGCGCTATATCCCAGTCCTATACAGTACGGTCTGAAGGTGTCAGCAGAATATGTATGCAAATTGAGTTGAAATCGAAACATGCGGAGCAGTTAGTTTTAAGTCAAAGCATGTCGGAGTGGATGATGGAAAGTTTTGACTTAAAGTTCCCCAGAGTGAGCTTCGCTTCGCTCAGCAATATTTTACACCGCCCCCTGGCAATTTCTTTTATTTTTTTGAAAAGTGGAATTTCTGTCGGCAAGACTTTCAGGCGGGCAGACCGTGTCGGTGGCGGCGCTTTGTCGTACGGAACAACAAGGCACGAAGCATGTGTCCGCCGAGCGGAAGCAGCCAGGAAGGACGTCGCCGCGGTTGACACATCCCTCTGGCGGGGGCGGGCCGCTCGGCAGGTCGGCCGCGTGCGCTGCCCACCTCAGCTGACCCCCATGAGCAGGATTCCCCATAAGGATCCGCCTATAGTATCCTCCCCGCGGGATCCTCCGGCCCGCCGGTGCCATAGCCGGCGCCCGCCGGAAGCCCATAGGACCCCTATCTGGACGACCGGACCCCACCGGGGTACCGAAGCGACGGTATCGGGAATAAGCGGGGCGGGCATTGCGTAAACGGGACGCACCGCCTTGAATAACAACGAGTCGTGGGCGTCATTGTGCCGCGATGTGTGAAGATGTGCGAGTGACATGTGTGTGTCTTTGTGTGCGCGTGCGTCGTGTGTGTGTGTGTGTGTGTGTGTGTGTGTGTGTGCGTGTGTGTGCGTGAGTGGCGTGGGCAGTGCAAGTAGCGGAACGAGACGACGGCAGGGCAGCGGCCCCTCCGGCCCCGCCGTGGTCCTGTGGTCGCTTCTGTTTACGGTCCGGCCTGTACCCCGGTTATTATCTTGCAATCGCAGTCGCACCAGTCTCGCCCCGCCCGGCCCGGCCCGCTGGCCCGGCCTCACCCCCGACATGACGACTGCTCCGAGCTGAGGACTGGCCGGAGCCGGAAGCCACCGGAAGCTCTAATGGCGACGCTGGGCGCGCTAACGGGCGCGCTGGGCGCCGCCGGCGCGCTCGAGCCGCACCGCGACCACGCCGCCGAGGACGACGACAGTTGGTACCTCGCGCCGCCCGTCATGGACGTCCCCGCCTTGCTGGAAAGCGTGGCGGCCCATGGCGAGGTCCAAGACGACGACGACGACGCCGACGACGACGACGAGAATCCGGTGCCCCAGGTGATCCTGGATGCCTGTCGCACCGGCGACGTGGACATCCTGGAGACCTGGCAGCGGTGTCACACCGCGCTAGGGCTTTCGCCTCGCCTCCAGGACCTCCGCGACGCGCAGGTAAGCGTCTCGCCTCTGTTTCAAGCGCTCCAGTTCCTGTCCAAATCATACCACGTCCTATTCCATCAGGGGGCCACCTGCCTGCACTACGCGGCGCGGGGAGGCCAGATCAGCGTGCTGGAAATGTTGGCCCGGCTGCAGGCCAGCGACCCCTTCCACCGCGCCATCAGCGACAACTTCGTGCTGCTCAGCCCGCCAGGCAGGTCGCTGGCCGAGATGGAAAGCTCGACGGACAGCGCGGACGCGCCGGAGGAGGACGCCGTCGCGGAGGACATAGCCCAGCCGTCCAGTCTGCCCGTCCCACTGCCCACCTGCGAGTCCGTGACCGAGCGCACCAAGGGGCTTCTCAACAAGCAGTACCTGCTGCTGGCCCAGCGGAGAAGCGGTGATGCTGCATCGGACGGGGAGGAGCGCGCCAGGACCCTGCCATCCAAGACCTTCCGGCTGTGGAAGGGCGTTATCCCACTGCCCACCCCTCGCAATGCCAGGGCCCCGAGGGGTCCCCGGGGTGGCGGTGGCTACCTGAAGACCTTCCTGGCGCGCTACAGCGACCTCGCCTCCACCTCGGGCTCCTCGAGCTCCTCGCCGGACAGCCGAGCCAGCGGGCCGCGCCGCCTGCGGAACCTCTTGTCCCGGTTCAACGTGGATACGACTGCCTCCCCCGTCTCCGCACCCTTGGACACCACGCCGGCAGATGAGCGTCAGCCTGCGCCAGCTGCACCACCTGAGCCAGCTGCAGCTGCGGACGGCAATGACCTCGGCTCTGCGGACGGAAAGTGCTCCGCGCCCGCGTGCCAAACACCCACCCCTCTGCGCGAGGTGCGCGCCGCCTGGCCGTGTCGTCCACCCCCTCCTCGGCCGCCGCCGCGCACCTCGTCCATGCCTGGGGCTGCCGCCGTCACCCCGAAGGAGGACGCCGACGAGGATGCGCGCGCGACCTCCTCGTCCTCCGAGGCGGGCGACTCCGTGTCGTCGTCTGGTGGCTGCGCCGTGGACGACGGCTTCTGTTCGGGGGAGTCGTGGTCGTCGTCGTCGGCGTCCTCGGGCAGCGAGTCGTGCGGTGTGTGGCGCTGCGGCGCGGGCGGGCGCGCTCCCGTGCTGCACCGCACCGTAGTGGGCGCCACGCCGCTGCACGACGCGGCCGCGCTGGGCCAGCTGGGCGCCATGCGCTGGCTGCTGCGCAGCACCCGCTGCCACCTCCACGACACGGACTACGACGGCAACACGGTGCTGCACCTCGCCGCCCGGTGAGTCCAGCGCATTATTTGTTTTATATTTGCCAACCTGCATGCTCGCACGATGGCTCAACGCGTGGCCGCTGCGGCCCGGCCGTGGGCGCGGGGCCTTGGCTCCCCGTGACCGCGAGGCGCGCGGCGCAACGCTTCCCGTCGCAACAGACACCTCGCAATAGGATGGGCTCCCACTCCCGCACTCTGCCTCTCTGCTCGCTCTGCAATTCTCATTATTGTGACTAGCGGTGCAGGCTGAGAAAAAGTCGTACCGGCGTCGTTGACTCGAGTTTGTTGACGCCTCTTTAGCTGCGCCCGACCACCGCGGCCGCCGTTTAGAGACGGCCCGGGCCGACCGCCTCGCCTGGGCCTGGGGTCCCTTCTCACCGCCACCGGCGGCCCCGGCCCCGCCCCAATGCGGTGGTCACATTAGGTCCTCCTTAAATCTTATCCGCAGACACACCGACCATTTTTTAGTCGTTTCACCGACGTCGATGGCTATCGTCGGCGCGGTCGCTGGCCTCAGGGATGTCCCCCTCCCTCCCCCCGCATCTCATTTCCATTTCGCCATCATCACTTTCTCGTTGGCGGCCCGTGGCCCGTCCGTGGAGCCTCTGGCCTGCCTCTGGCCGAACGCTATCTGGCTGCGCTTGACCTTCCCCGGGAGGCGGGCCAGTGCCCCGGCGAGCAGCCCCGCGCCGATGCAGCGGCCCCCGGCCCGCCCGCGCCCGGGCTTTTGCATGCGGTGTCTAGCATTGAAAATCACGGGCAATCACGCTCAGGAGGGTCACGAGGTAGCCCACTGCCAGAAAGACATTAAACATTTTTGTAACACAAGAAATAGTTATTACACATAAAAAAACGTTCTTTTTGCTTGTCAGCAGCAGTCCAGTTCCCTTCAAAAGTAATCCGCAGTCGGTAGGACTCGAACCTACGCTCCCAGAGGGAAACTGATTTCTAGTCAGTCGCCTTAACCACTCGGCCACGACTGCCGGTTACCATGCCCAGAAATGCAAACGCGTGATAAAGAACTGGTTTCACGCTGACTGTAAAGCAGATCACCGCTTGGCCCGGCCTCTGAAACAAACAAAAAATCCGCAGTCGGTAGGACTCGAACCTACGCTCCCAGAGGGAAACTGATTTCTAGTCAGTCGCCTTAACCACTCGGCCACGACTGCCGGGCTACGATCAAGCAGAGCACAATCTGGTTTTGAGGCGGCCGAAAATAACTGGCTCGACGTTGCGCCGTGCGGTGGGAGAAGGTGGTGGCAGGGGCGGGGAGGAGGGGGGAGGTGGAGGTGGTGGTGGCTAACGGGTTATGCATACTCGGGAATGCCTCACATTGGGACGCTACTGGCGGGGAGGGAGGGGAAGGGGACTCTCGTCAGCACTTTCGCTCGCGCTTCCATCTCCTTCTGTCTCTCGCGCGCGCCCGACTCATCGCCGACCCCGCTGTACCGATAAATCGAACTCAGCGCCTTTATCTATGATTGGACACGTCAGAGTGGCAGTGCAGTGCGCGGCTTTGGAGAGTCCTCTCTCTCCTCACTCGACCGACCGAGTAATGTCCAACTGTCTTGACACCTGGCGGTTTCTACACGCCCGCTTTCCGCAAAGTGCGCAGACCTCTGCGTCTGCGGCCCTCCGCCCGGTGGTCCCGAGCACCCCGCCCAGCCCCGCC